AAAACACCCTTAAAGCAGCAATGTTTTAATCACTCCATTTTATTTACTCTCCTCCGGTGTCACTTATAATTGTAACTTTTTATTTTTTAATAATGAGGGATTTTTTTTCTCTGTGCATCACACAAAAAAGTGCTGTCGATAATTAGCAGTCTTCTGTTATTACTAGACTCAGGTGTCACAACTGTGTCTCATCCTCATTACAGTAAAAAATTTCACCTATCAGATTCATTATTGCTAGATAATGCGACTGAGAGCCTTAGCAGGCCCTCCAGAAAAGTAATTCAGCCAAGCAAAATTATCAGCTAATTATATTTAGAATCAAAAGCCCAACAACTATTTGCAGATAAATTGTATGAATTGAAGTGAATAGATCTGAATATTAAGATTCATAGATTTAGCAGATGATTTGTTAATTGGAATAAAAAGGTCATTTACTAGTCATTTTAACAATAGATCAATTGGAATTTTATTTATTATTTAACTGGTAATGCTTAAGAATTGAAATAATGAGTAATTGTATTGTTGTCATGATATGATACAAATGACAAAAGTATGTGAAGGTTATGATCAAGCTCTTTTTATTTTGAATCTAAAATCAATGTAAAATATACAGTGAGTGTTATTTCTAATATATTTCAAACTCTAGGAATTATGATCTGAAAGATATATAGTATGTGAAGGAGATAATATTTGATTCCAGGAACCTCTGAGGAAATATATTAAGTTTTTACTGTATAAATGTAGAAAATAAGTATGTAAATACAATTGCTTACAAATCAAATAATAATTTCAAATCTTAACTGTCTCCAGCAAACTACAGACATGTTGGATTCTCATTTTACTAGTTCCTGATGCGGATAGAAGTTTTGCTATGGGATGTTGCAGTCAGTTGATCGCTCACATTGCTTGTTGGCCTGCAGCTATTGCTTTGAAACCTCCATGGCTTCACTGGTGGGGGGAGGGGAATGGGAAAGGAGGAAGAATGGTAAAAGAAAACTTTAATATTCTACTTGTTTTTATATCTGACATAGTACTTAAAAATAGGGAAATCATCTAATAAATCACATACTAGAAACATTTTCCTTTTAAAAAAGCATAGTGATAGACTTTGTACATAGGGTTTCCAGGTGTCCGGTTTTGAACCGGACAGTCCAGTATTTGAGCTTTCTGTTCAGGAAACAAATTGAGAAAATATAAATGTCCGGTATTTTCTAAATTAGATGTAATCTAAATTGTGATGTAATGTCAAGTGTGCAATCCTATAAATTGTACACTGAAATTTTTGTTGAAGTTTGTGACAAAATTAGCAGTTAGTTCTTTGCAAAGTATTTGAGAGAATATGTATATCCTGGGCCTTCTATGGCTAAGGACAGATTTAAAACAAAACTTTAAACATCTTTCTACCTTTCTCCTATCCCCCCCAAAAAGAAAAAAAGAAAAAAGAAAAGAAAAGAAACCTCAACAAACAACTTAGCAGGGCAAAAGGAAACAATTCTTTCTGAACCGGGTTGGGCAAATGTAATAAAAATGAAATGCAGAGACAAAATGCATGTTTGTCATGAATAAAAAAGATGATTGTTGATAAGAAAATAAGCTGAAGTTAAAAATAAAGTCCTCCTATGGTCAACATGTTGGATATACTCAAAGACTTCCATAAAGTAAACATATTTTTAAAAATGCTCTGAATTTCACTATGTAATTTCTGGCCAACAGAAATTACATTTGTACCTTCAAAATTTATTGTATGTCAGATTAGTGGTCACTATGCAGAAGGAATAAGTTAAAAACTCTGTACTTTAACCTGTTCAGTTATTAAAATGAAAATATAAACATGATATTTTTTTCTTTAGGTTTGCTATTTGATAACTTTCTGACGTTCTTTTGCAATTATAAAATGTTTGAGTTTGATATTATAAAAGGTTGTGTAAATTATTCCTCCAGACAACAACTGTATAAACCATTAAATGCTTTGGCAAAAGATTCTTGACAGTATTTATTTAAAAATTCAGATTTTGTGTCCTGAATCATATGATCTGAAGCACGTGTATAAAACTAAGATGTCTCAAAAACTTCGCATTTTTCTTAGGTAATGTTTAAGTTTAACCTTTGAATTCCTATAGTTTAAAAACAAAACACTCTATGCCAGGTAATTGTTACTGCATAAATATCCTTGTGTTTCTGCAGCATTATTAAGAAAAGCTGTCCATACTTCACCATGTTGTTACATGTGTCTGTCTGCTGATTATAAAATGTGTTAAACAGTATTTAAAAAACAAAAAAATGCAGAGCTGCGCTTTGATTTATTCAGCGAACAAAACATATGCTCGCTGTTCTGTTCTATGTAATTCATATGATCAATAAAATTATCTTTAAAAAGAGCAACTTTGGCAGTTAGGAGGATTATCCTGCTAAACAGGGGGAAATGATTTACTTCTGCTTTATGCAGTCAACTTCAATGCTGTTGGACCAAAAGATTGTTTTGGCTCACTGATGTATTGTTAATGTATTTGTTTATTATTTTTAATCTTTAGGATAGAAGCTGTATATTGTGGTTGCTATCCACTATGCCCAAATGCTTTGGTGTATCCAGAAATATTTCCAGGTAGCTGTTTTAATGCACATTCTTTTTGATGAAATTTAATACATGGTTCATGCTAAAGTGTAAAGTTTGAGAATAAACAAGTAAAAGCAATTGTTTATTTGGCAAGCCAACATGTTAGTGTTAAGGAAAATTTTATGTGTTTTAATACATTAGACTAAGTTTATATTTACCATCTGTTCTTCCAAGATAACACAAAAGCAAGTTTTGAAATAGCATTCTTCATTGTTAGCATACACAACCCATAATGATAGATTCTTATAAAAAGGTCAGTGCTGCTGCAATGGCTTGCAGATTTTTTTAACGATATACAGAGAGGAAAAATAGAGGCCTGAAAATCACACCAAATTATTTAAACAATTTAATACTTAATAATATGCAAGTGTGGTACAGGATACACATTAATATAGTACCAGTTCTTTGAAAAATCTCATCACTAAATGTATCACATATGCATTGTGTTACATTAGAATAATGTATTTTAATCACCCAAAGGAGATGTCTAAACAGCACAACTACACAGTCTTATTTAGCATTAAACATCCTTGTGAGCTGAGGTAACCTTATAAAATCATGCTTAAATAATGTAAAACACGAGGCGGCACAGAGCAATATGCATTTTTAATTAGTAAAGTGACTAATATCGAGTGTGTGCTTTGAGGTTTTTGTTTCATTAAAAATGTATCTGTTTTTCCTGCAGCTGAATATCTGTATTCTACACCTGAGCAGCTTTTTAAAAGGCTTCAGAATTTCTGCAAGAGACCAGATATTGTAAGGAAACATCTCTATAAGGTAGTTGTTCAGAATAGTTGTACAAGATATAATGCCATGTTGAAGTACAAAGAAAAAAATCTTTAAAAAACAACAACATTTAATTAACATACTAATGTTTAAAGGAAACATGCTAGGGAGGGATATTAGTCGTTACACTAACAAGGATTAATTAAACTAGATGCCAGTTGTATTAACCTAGGTCTTATGAAATACATACACTTAATGCATGCTACATGCTTTTTTTTAAAATTTATTGTTTTCTAAAATGACTGTCCTTTACATTCGGACCCAAGAGGCTTATAAAAATGAACCTGGATTAATGTAACTCATTAGTTTAAAAGGAAAGTAAAAGAAAGATCCTACAATTATACTAATGAGGATAAACCTACCTTCCTATCATAATTTAATCTGCGGTCCTCAAGAAGTTCAGGTGAATGACATCAGGTAAGTTCTTTTTGCCCCTTTTGGAATTATTTTGGCAATTATCATGAATATTTTAACTCTTTGTGCTAAAGGTTTAAATGAAGTAAAAGTTAACTCTTAATGTGCTTAAATTTACTAATATTTATCCCACTATCGTTCTTTTATTTCTTTGTAAAGAAATAAAAGTTTAAATGCTGGAATGACCATTCTGATCCATTAATATATGCTAACCTTGCTTTCAGATTTTTAAGATGCATTTGTATGCTATGGTAGAAATCAAACTTTTTTTTGGTAATGTGTTTGTAGAAGATGTACTGATTTTTACATTATTTCTCTCATAACCTGTTATCACATGGTGTTGTTTTGATAACATGGCTATTATTTTTTCATGTGCTAATGTGAAAATTTACAATAGTGAGTGCTAAATTAAGGCTTTTACAAGCCTCAGGTACACTGGGGATCACACAAGGCTCATTGCCCGAGCATGATAAAGCCAAAGCAGGTAAGCACTTAAAAGCGCTTAAGTCACTTAGGAGCCTGAAACCTATTGAAAGTCAATGGGACTTTGACTCTTAACTCACTTAAGCTTCCCCAACATCTCTAGAGATCTAGAGGAGCATGGTCTGAGGTGCCCCTTGTGATACCTGCTCAACAGGGATAAAAAGTGCGCTCTCTCTCTCTCTCTCTCTCTCTCTCTCTCTCTGTAACCACCCTAGCATGTCTGTAATGGATCTGCCAAGTAAACCTTTCCTAACCTGGGCCACTAATGCTACCAGCAGCATTCACGCCTCTGTCCTTGATTATGCTTGGCCTCTCAATGAATGCATCACATGCCCCCTTACCTCTTTTAGCATGCCCATACAAGAGGAAATATAATTTAGCCCTGAATGTATGTTTGACTTATTTTGTGACCTAAAAATAGACATTTACATAATGATACATCAAAAGAAGATGTTGTTTCTGCAGGAAACAGTTAAACTTCAAGCTAAAAAGGAGAGAACCAAAAATGCAATTTAACACCCAATTTCAAGCTCATTATCTTTCATTGTCTATTAACTTGGCAATGGTTCAGAAGGTAGCTCATAATAGTTTAAAATGCTGACTGAACACTTCCAGTATTCAGCATTACTTCTTGAGTCAGTACTAAACATGGAGACTTCAAAGAGAAAACAATCCTTAAACGTTTACCTTTACATTTCCCAATTTTTCGCATTCAGTTAGCAGTTTTCTTCACATGAATCTACCTTTTGCATATGGATCCCCAACTCCTGCATAAAGGGAATTTCTGCTAGGATGCTGAAAATGGAAGTAGTAGCAGAACAAATATTGATACCAAAAAGGTATCATATCAAAATATGGCACAGAGAATGATGTGAACATAATTCTAAAAGCAAAATGCTTCATTTGTATCCAGTACCTCCTTTTGAATAAACACTCCTTGGTGAATTAGTTATGGGTAAAGTGCCACCACAGCTATTGAACAGTTTATCACATCATTTCAAGTTGCACATGATTAACCCTGCACCCGAGTGTTCAGCATTTGTAGTGGTTTTTGCAACAAGTAGCACTGGAAGGACTGGGGAAAATAATATTAGAGTTGCAAAATTAGAGCTTAATCAAAAACTTGTGAAATTCAATGAAAACATTCCCTTTGATTTTAATGGATTTTGGATCAGGCTCAGAATGTGAATAGTTATTCCCTTTGCACACAGACCCAAATATACAAGAGTTGTTTATTTTGCAAATAAACTACCATTAAAAGGTTCTGAAAGAATGTCAACTGAGAGATGAGTTGTAAATGATAAACTTCTTCAAAGAGTTAAAAAGAGCAGTAAACAATACCTCAGCAGTGAATTCATCAGGGGTATGCACATGCTTATTCACAGATATTATTTACTTTACATTTAGGATACCGTATGTATAATAGTGATACAGGGAAAGTGGGAAAAGGATTCTGATATGGTAACATGCTCCTTTTTTCTTTTTTTCATAAACCTTTCTGGCATGCTCCATTATTAGAAGTTCAAAATACAGCTGTCTGTTCCTACAAAGAAAATATAAAAACTCTATAAAACAAAAAGAATATTTTCCTTTACTTTTTAAACATTCTGTCTCATAAACCTTGAATTAGAAGTAACACATCAGAAATGCTTTTGTTTATATTTTCTGCTTATTTTTGTTGCCACTGTATTATTAAGTTTATAAAAAATAGTCAAATATGTTGCTGCGTTATTCTATCGAATAACTTATACTTGTGCTTGTACCAACTTATAAAGATAGAGGCAAAGGAAGATAAAATTAGACTTGTTACAAAAAGACAATCAACTTACGAAATAAGAATAAGGTACACTGTGAGGTATACACTTTTGGCACCTCCAAAAACCCAAGAAAAGCTGATATCTACTAGAACACAAGTCATGGAGTGCCACTATTTGTGTAAGTGGAAGTTTAAACCAGCAGTCCCCCGTCCCGATCTTATGAAAGTGAACAAGCTAACACAATAGTTTGTAACAGTTTAACTGTATATTAAATAAATACATATTTATAAGTGCCTAATAAGGACTTTTCCTGGCACACACTATTTACCCTTTATATTTTAATGGTACCCAAGGCTCATTTCAATTTGAATGCTCTATCCCACAATCGATAAACAGATGAAGAGAAGATATTTGTCACAAAAAAATCACTTCTTATCAATTATTTACTCTTCTCTAGTTTTATTTAGCTAAAAGTTAGTCTTTGCTTTTGTGTTTTGTGAGCTACCACGCTCAGTCAGTACTAAACAAATAACAAAGGTTCATGAGTTCCCAATGGAAATTACAACAGGATTTCATCAGTGATAAAAAGGAAGGTGGGGGAAGGGAATCTCCTATGCCACTAATGTCAAGTGGGAGCTTGCATTTGCAGGGCTTCTGGTGTGTCCAGGCCCATGGGCTCTGGCAACCCAGTCCGCTAGCTGTGATGGAGCTGTAGACTCTGCAAGCCCCAGCAGCTGCTGTCGGAAACTGGCCTGACATGATTCTTGTCAGTTTTATTGCTGCCCATCGCTGACTAGCATGGGTAACACTGACCTATCTTTTGTTAACTTGACACCAAAAGTCTGGTCAGTTTAACACTGCTATTCAGTGGGCAGCATTTAAACTGACAAGGATCATGTCAGTTTCAAGCTGCTAGGGCTTCCAGGATCCCTAGAAACCTGATGAGCATATATTGATCCATAATGAAATATTTCACAATTTCAATTCCATGAAAATGTTTACGTTTTTTTCTCTCTCTCTCTTTTTGTCTCAAATTTAAGGCAGAAAAAAATTGTTGAAATCTCTAAACTTTTTGTGGGTTGGGAAAACCATTTCTCATCCAACTCTCCTAATTAGGCATGGCTAGGTGCCGCAGGCTGAGTGGGCAGAGAGGGAGCACCATGAGGCATTCTGAGCTCCTTTGTGCAAAAAAGGATCAGTCACAAACCTGTACAGAGTGCAGCATATACTTGCTTTCTCCACTGCATAGCTGGCTAATTTCATTGCTATAAGCATGGGCTGTTCCTGACCTTTTTGAGGTGAGCACAAGAAAGCAGAGCATAAGAATGGCCATACTGGGTGAGACCAAAGGTCCATCTAGTTCAGTATCCTGTCTGCCAACAGTGGCCAATACAGATGCCCCAGAGGGAGGGAACACAACAGGTGATCATCACATGATCCCTCACC